ATGCGCAGTAGTGGTCTGTAACGAAGATAAGAAAAATCCCGTAGAATTCAAATGGAAATGGGGGGAGGAAGAACTACCGGTAGTAGACAAGTATACGTACCTGGGAGTAGAGATTTCGAAGGAGTGCTCATGGGACGCACACATAGCGAAGTTGATTGGGAAGAGTAAAGCTCAGATAGGCAAGATGGACGAGATCCTTACGGACCCACACCTAGACACTAGGATTAAGAGGTGTATTCTCTTGAATGTGATTGTACCTAAGCTAGAGTATGCAGGAGAGATATGGGAAGGTAACGAAAAGGCCGTCAAGCAGCTGGAAACGGTGCAGATGGCAGCGGCCAAGAAAATACTAGGATGTTCAAGTACAACGAGCAACACTGTATTGAGAGCAGGATTGGGAATGTACTCTCTTAAAACAAAGAGAGACATGCAGAAGTTGAATTGGCAGTACAAGGTAAGTAGAATGTCGGACGATAGACTACCAGCCATGGTTGACGAGGCAGCTTGGGGAAAAGCGACTCCAGGGAAGAAGGGAATCAGATGGGACAAGGTGGTAGAGAAGATTTGGAAGGAGATAGGAGACGAAGAGGAGACGTTGGACACGGAAGGGTTCGGGGGGTTCAAGACGAAAGTCAAGGAGATGCTAGAGAGTAGGGAGGAGGCAACCCTTCGGAAGAAGGTACGAAGCGAAGACCACTTGGAGATATACGGGAAGTTGAAAGAAGGGATAGGGATGAAGAAGTACTTGGACGGCCCCATGGACTATGCGAAAAAGCTGAAATTGCAATTTCGAGTAGGCGATCTGGACTTGCCAGAACGGAGGAAGAGGTATACCAGCCGTAGGAGAGAGGAAGAGGAGGATAGACACACATGTCCATGTGGCAAATCGGAGGAGAGTAGACCCCACATAGTTGGGGAGTGTGAGTTGTACAGGAAGGAAAGAGAGGATCTCGAGGAGGAAATGAGACAGAGAGGGTGTGACATGGACAAGTTTGGTAAATTAGACAACAGCGAAAAAACGATCGCGATAATTGGGGATAGATGGTGGGCACAAGAGGCCCTAGAGGACGGGGATAAGATGTGCAAGAAATTTTTATGGAGTTTGTGGCAGAAACGTAAAGAGCTCCCAAA